GCAAAAATTGTGTACAATTCCCACAGTCATATTGTCAGGAAGAACTGAGTATTCAGTGAAATTTAGGGAGGTTTTCTATCATTGGTTGAGTGGACTTGCTTTGAAAGTGGAAATCTGCTGAAATTCTGGGCAGGTTTGTGTTTTTGTACTTCAGAAAATGGTTTACAAGGGCTGATTTGGCAGCTGATAAAAAAATTTGGATTAATGCGAGAAAGTCCCATTCTTTGGTTGAGAACTGTAAAATCATGTTTATTTTCACCATTAACACATGGAGGTTTTTGCCTCTGAAAAAGATCTTGATGCTAGCAGGGTGAGTAAGGAGAGGCTGCCCCGGGTTTGGGCTCAGTGCTGGGACAGAAATGTGCATTAAGCAGAGCTTTGAGCCATCGTGGGACTGACGGATGTGCTATTTCTCGTGTGATGGTCGCCATCCAGAGCTCTCCTCCTCAGCAATTCATTTCCCCTTAGCTCACATTTGCTATTTTCTCCTTCTCTGTCAGCATGAGAAATATGCAGCGTGCTCTGCGGAGAAGGAATGACATTTCACTCCAATCCCTGAGACAAATGCTCCGTCTCCTCCCGGGAAATCAGAGCTTCAATTACATCTACCAAGCTGGGGGGAAGAGCTGTATTTTAATGCACCTCTGTAGTGTCTTGTGGTTTTTGTACCACTGTCGTTTATGAAGTACCTTCACAAACATTTGAGTGTGTGAGGGGTGCAGGCAGAGAGCAGATGCTGCTGTGAGAGCAGCTCTCTCACCACCTGTTGGATTTTTTTCTTCCTGGCCAAGGCTAACACTGGTGCAGGTCCCAAATCTGTCTGGAGCTAAGTGCAACACTTTGAAGACCAACTGGCTTTTCTCTTTAGCTCTGCTGTCGGAAGAGATCATCTGGGAATAATTGGTGTCAACAGCCTGTCCCCTCGAGTTCATTTTCAACCTTGTCTTGCTTATCCAAACCACATTAAGACAGGAAAGAGGATCAAGGTATCTCTGGGTAGGATGTGAAGTTTGATTACCCAGCAGGGATTCAGCCTGGGCCAGCTGAAACCTTGCTGGATGAATCACTGAGTTGCTCTGTGCCTCAGTAGCTTTATTTTAAACTGAAGTTCCTAATAAAACTCCACTGAGACATGAGCAGCAGTAGCTCAAGGCCAACAGGCACACCTAGAACTGGGCACTTCCACTTCTGCAGAGCAGTAAGACCTTTTTTAACTGACTTCAATCAGAATAAGGTGCTGCAGCCTGTCAGTGTTGCCTTTCAGAAAATTAAGAAAGTCAGGCAGGGAAATTTTATAAAGAAGCTGTGTGAAACCCATTTGCTTACTCCAAGCAGAGAAGCAAGAAATATTCCTGGCATAATCTTTCTTCTTTTCAGTGCTATTGATTTTCAGGACATTCAGGCCTGGAAAAGGAGAATATTCCTTTACACAATGCACAATTTATCCTTGGAGTTGGTGGAGCAAAATAAAGAATATAAAAATCAGAAGACATTTATTTGGATAGTGGGCAGAAGTTAAATATTTGAGATTTGAATAATCTTGCAAAGTACACAAAGCCTCAAAAACATCAGACAGTAGATCTGAATTGAGTGTGGAAACTGGACTACTGAACTTTCCCTGCCCTGGGATGAAGAGGGGTTGGTGACCTGCTTCACCTCAGTCTGTGCAAATTAAATCATCCCTGTGATGCTCCAGCCCCCAGCTCTTTGCAGCAGAGACTGTGCTCCCCCCAGGATGGAAATCTTGGCTGTCACTCCCAGCAGAGATCCGAGAGCATGGTGGGATGTCAGAGCCATCCCTCGGAGGTTTCAGGCAGGACATTTCCACTGCCAGGTCAGGGTGGCTTCGAGGGGACCTCCCGGCACTCGGCTGTTCTCACTCCCCATCTGGCCCCTCTCTGATCTCTGCCCTGTGCTCCTGCCAGCTTTCACACCACACAATCCTGATGCTGGGAAGGTTTTACAAGTGATGACTGATGTCCAGCCTCTGGGACATCAGAGCCTTGTCCTGTTTGTGCTTTCAGACTGACAGATACATTCAGCCTCCGTGGCTGCAGCTCTTTCACCAGTGCCAAGTTCACTTTAAATAACAGAAAAAAATGGGCTGTTTCAATCTGCACGGTTTTTTTTCTGTTTCCTAGAGTTCCTTCTATGGTTTTTGAGACTTTTCAGTCCAAATATCCACTGAGATGACAAGTGCCAATGACCCTTCTTGCGACAAGGGAACAAGGCAGTTTTCCTGCAGAAATTCTCTGGGGGAGCCAAGCAAATGCTGTGTTTGTTTTTGCTGGCAAACCTGGCAGCAGCAGAGGCATGGCTGGGACCAGGCTCACCTGATGCTGAAGGCTGGGAGCTTTTCAGAGTCACTGGACACAGAGAGGTCCCGTAGCATCTGTTTGGTGACAAAAAAAAGGATGAAGATGAGACCAAGACTTCATTATTCCAACCTCTGTCTCTGCCATGCAGGAGAACTGTGCTATATCCATGTCCATCCTGACACTGCCAGCAGCAGGTTGACTTATTTATCTTCATCTTACAGGGTCAGATTATATTGCTGCATCAGGACTGCTCTGGAGTTAAATTAATCCAGTTGTGGCAGCCTCCATGTGTAGCTCCACAACAACTCCTTGCCTGACACCATGAAACCTCAATAAATCTGAAATTGCTGCAGCAACCCTGTGTAAATCTCCCAGCTCCAAAGGAGAGATGGCAAAAAGGACCTTTCTGGTAATAAAACAAGTATTGGTTGTAGAATAAGACAGGGTTGGGCACCAAGGATGTGCACTGAAGACTTTAAATCTTGCCAGCCTTGCTCAATTTAAGGGGTGTTTTTTCAAAATGTTTCAAAGTTCAGGTTTTGTCCAAATACACGTCCCACGTATCTGAACCCTGTGAGACTGGAAACCTCGGCCATGAGTCTCATGTGACTTTCTTATGAGATTTCCAGCTTTTCTCCTTCTTCTCTTGGCTTGAAGCACCATGAGAATATTTTCTTACGTGGTATTTCCACACTTTTAGCTTCAAATTCTGGGCCTGAAGAACTTTAAGAGTGATGTGGATTCCTTGTTTAAACTAAAACCGGGATCATGCTACAGGTTTGTGTTCTGGGAGTGCATAAATAAAAGACACAGGCGACAAATCCTCTTGACACTGGGGACTTAATACTGAGTGAGAGATAAATAATGATTTCTCATCAACACTACCAAGGTGTTGTTTCAAGGCACTGTCCTGTGATAATGACACTCATCTCGAGCCCTTTCCCTTTTCAAGGCAGGGGATCCTCAGCACAGGAGCTGACACAGACAAGAGTAGGGGCTCATGTGCTGTTTCAAGGAGCTGAATTCTTACTTGGCAGGCTCGGGAGGAGTCATGTCAAGAGCTGCTTATTTCTAATATTGTACAGAGAATTCCTCCCACTATTTCTTCCAGATGCTGTCCATCTCATTTATTTATTTATTTGGATTAGCTGTATTAAAATATAACATGCTTCCAAATGCTTTCCTCCCAAATTCCCAAGGGACGGCCCTTTCTCATGGGGATGGATGTCCTTAAGCTGTTTAACATGCTTAACTCCCCCTGCTCAGAACAAGGGGAAAGTTCCTGACTCCAGAGTACCCAGGATCTCACAGAAAGCTTTGAGCACTTGGTATTGAAGGAGTCGGGAAAAGGAATGTAGCAAAACACTGGGCAGGGAGACAAGAAAAATCTGCAGCTTTTCCAGTGACTGTGGCACTGATCTGGCTATCGAGCACCTGAGCAAGGAATTGCTGAGCCTTTCAGCAGGTTCCTGATGGACTCAGAAGGTGAAAAACAAAAGGATGAGTGCAAGTCAGCTCTTTGAGCCTTGTTTGATGAGGACTTACCTAGTTTTGAGTTTTATTAGACCCGCATCAAGGCGTAGGGATCGTCTGAACAAACCAGGGGCACATGCACATTTTCATTTGGTTTGGTGTGGAGATTAGGGAGGCTGATTGTACAAAAAGGGAAAGTTCTCCTTGGTTTCTGAAGCTCGGTGGAGTGCAGTCACTTGGATCAAGTTTTCCTTGGCAATGGAGTTGACTGAAATCCACAGCTGAGGTTTGGCTTTATGGGGAGGGGTGGAATCACAAAATGGCTCTGAAGGTGGAGCTGTCAGAGACTGTCGAGGCTGAAAGGTCAACCACAGGCTCTTTGTGGCTCTCTCTTTCTCCTCCACTGCCCTTAAATGAGAGCAGTGGGAACTTTGAAAGAGGAGAACAGAGAGATAAAGCCTTTAAATGCCAAGGAAACGCCTGGCAGATACTGGACCCTCAGAATACCATCCACTGAAGCCTTGCCCAGTCTTTGAGGGGCTCTGTTCATGCTCCCAGCACTCACATACATCCTTCCTGGAAAGATTTGGCCCTGTTTCACCTGTTCAGATTCGCATCCTTTCAACTATCACCACACCTACTCCTACTTCCCCATCCCGCGAGGCCTCCAGGCCGGCAGCCTGGTGCGCCCAGCCGCTTACACATCCTCCCCGCTCTCACTCAGGGAGATGGAGTGGATTTTAATGGTTGGCACTTTGCAGTTCTCGTGGCCGAGGCTCCCTGAAGCTCCTGGACAGCAGCATTCCTGCAGGAACCCTTTGCTCTTGGCTTTGGCAGCCGTGCAGTCTTTGGAGACGGCGGTTTTGGTGGGCACGCCCTGCACGGCCGAGAAGATCTTCCACTCGCAGACCCCGTCCGACTTGGAAATCTTGTAGAAGGTTTCTCCTGACCCCACAGGGATCCTCACCACCCCTTTGCCACTCTCCATGCCCTGGCCAGCAGGATGGTTGAGGTTGAAGCTGGGGGTTTGCTTCTTCGCTGGCTGCTTCCTCAGGAGGCACTGAGCTTTCAGCACGTTCTGGAATGCTTTCTTGAACTCTTGACTTGAGCATGGATAGATGATGGGGTTGATGCAGCTGTTTAAATATCCCAGCCAAAATGTTATTTTAAAAAGTGTGTCCGGGGGTTTGATTGCAGGAAAGAAAGAACCTAAAATGGAAAATATGCAGAGTGTTAGGGCAGAGGCAGTGAGGAATTGCAGGTAACCAAAGAAACTAAAACACTGGAAAAAATAAATAGGATTTTGTTCCGTCTTGAAAAAATCATGACTGGAAGGACAATTCCTGCAGGAACAAGCATTTTGGGATCTGTGGTGTCACACAGTTACATGGATGTTCCATCAGAAATCAGTTCAAGAGAGCTATTTTATAATTATAAGCATTATATTCCCATTTAGAGCTAGAGAGGCAGCCAGAGAGCTGATTCCAGGGATAGGGGAAAATTCCTTCCTCAGGGACTCCTAACTCAAGATTAATTACCCAGATGACAGCAGTATCTTTAAGGTCATCACATGGGGCTTCAGATGGCAAGAAAATCACACCATTTCAGAAGGGTTAGAGAAAAGAGGGGTTAGAGTTGACTGTGTTAATTGAAATGATGAATTATTGGGTACTGATATTGCCCAAAACCTTCAGAAAATCTAACTATCCACATCCTGCCTCATGGAATGCAGCTAAAATTGAGAAAATTGAGAGAAGTTAAAGGAAAGATTCTTTCTCATACCAAGGAACACTGGGGAGGGTCTCTTAGGAAGCCATGAGATGTGTGTCTATATCTATCTATATCTATATCTATATCTATATATCTATATCTATATCTATTTATATATAATTACATTCAATATATATTATATATATATCAATACATATAATATATTTATACTATTATATATATGTTTATACTATTATTTATATTATGTATATGTATATGTATATGTATATGTATATGTATATTTATATTTATATTTATATTTATATTTATACACACATATTCTGAAATACACTTTCCATGTTACCTTCCCAAGATGATTCAAAGAGCAAGACCTTTGATGGCTCTTTAGCAAGGAAAGTACTTTGGCATTTCTTTTCCAATAGAATCATGAGTTATTTGCTGATTTAAAATCTTGGCAATGTTTTTCCTGATGCCAAACCTTTGGTTTTATTAAAAAAAAATAAAAATCCCAGAAACAAAATTGACTTGTTTTGGAATTTATACTCAAATTTATAATAAACAGGACTTTTAGCACTGGCAACGCCTTGTCTTCCTGCTTCCCCTGGAATAACTGTAAGCATGTGGAAAGAAATACTTTCTTTGGAAGGTTTAGGCATTGATGCATCCATCATCCTCTGCAGTTTAACCGTGTCTGGGATCAGCTCCCAAGCTTTACATGGATTGATCTGTTCCTGGACCTCTCCTGGCCCAGGAAAAGCTGATAATGCTCTCCGAGGGTGCTCTGACAGAAATCTGAGAGCTGCCCGAACCCTTTTCCTCAGTCTTGGTCAAACAAAGCTGCAGCATTTGCAGCAAATGCCTACCAGTGGCCAGAGCGATTCCTGGGGTGGTTCTGCGTGTGTGGGAACGCACCAGAACCCGCCTGGGCTGCTCCTGGTGCAGGGGATCCATCTCCTGCTCATCCTGCTGGACATTCCTGCCAGGAACCTGCACAGATCTCGTGGTGGCAGCAGCTTCTGCACCCGAGCAGAGCCCACGGCCCAGGCCCGGCCAGGGAGGGGACATGGGGCAGCCAGAGGAGCCGTGCAGGCCTCTCTGACCTGGGAGCGGGGCTTTGTGTGTGCTACAGCAGCAGGGAAGTGACACCAGGGCAGGGTCAACACAGCGTGCTTTGGGTTGGGAGGGACCTTAAATCCCACCCAGTGCCACCTCTGCCATGGGCAGGGACAGCTCCCACTCACCCAGGCTGCTCCAAGCCCTGTCCAACCTGGCCCGGGACACTTCCAGCGATCCAAGGACAACCACAGCTGCTCTGGAAATTCCATCCCAGCCCCTCTCCACCCTCACAGGGCGGAATTCCTTCCCAATATCCCCTCTAACCCTGCCCTCCGGCAGTTTGAAGCCTTTCCCCCTTGCCCTGTCCCTCCAGGCCTTGTCCCAAGTCTCTCTCCAGCTCTCTTGGAGCCTCTGGGGGCACTGAGCCTTTCCCAAAGCTCTCTTGGAGCCTCTGGGGGCACTGAGCCTTTCCCAAAGCTCTCTTGGAGCCTCCAGGGGCACTGAGCCTTTCCCAAAGCTCTCTTGGAGCCTCCAGGGGCACTGAGCCTTTCCCAAAGCTGTCCCTTCCCCAGGCAGTGCAGGACGTGCCACAGGAGCTCTGTCTCTGTACCAAACCTCTGATTCCAGCCTCAGGTATGACCTGGCCACCAAGCATGGCCCTTGCTGTCTCCATGGTGGCTTCTGGTTGCCCCAAGCTGGCCCAGGCAGAGAAGTTTCATTATTGCTTTCAGTATCAACCAGATTTTAAGACCAAAAAGGTTTTGCTAAGGAAAACAAATGCTGTTTTGCAGTGAAGCACAAGCAAGCACGCGCATCCACAACCTAAAATTTTTCTCAGCAAATTAATGCTTCTCTCCTTTAGTGAAAACCAACTGAATAACATTCTCAAAGAACTTTCTGGCTGAAGTCATTGGCAGATGAAAAATAATGAAAGGCTTCTAAATGTCCAAATCACGCTCAATTTTTTGGTTTGTTTCCTCATTTAAATGCAGTGTATCTGCTGCTTTCCCTTTTTGTGGCGAGACAAAAGGTGAACCAAATCCCGCTTTAGGGAATCAGCTGTGTGAGGCCAAGTGTAAAAACGGGTAAACAATAACAATTCCTGTTTGCTGCAACTCCTCGCTCTCTCCAGATGGAATGCAAGGGCTGTGCCAAAGTCTGATAAAAATAGAAAACAGCCAGTGTCAGACTCTGTCCCTTGCTCTTTTTTTGGGGTGGGATCTGCATGTTAATTTATTAATGTCGCCTTTTTTGGTTCATCAGTGGGAGAGCCTTGTTGCCTTGGAGTAACACACAGTGCAAGAAAATGAAGGAGCTTTAACAGCACAGGGACTTTGCTCTCTGCAGACCCCTCTATTCACTGGCTCTCAGAGAATCATGGAATGGTTTGGGTTGGAAATCATCTCATTCCAACCCTCTGCCATGGGCAGGGACACCTTCTGCTGTCCCAGAGTGCTCCTGGGACACTTGGACACTTCCAGGGATGGAGCAGCCACAGCTTCTCTGAGAATTCCATCCCAGCCTCTCCCCACCCTCACAGGAGGAATTTCTTCCCAATATCTAATCCAAGTGTATCCTCCTTCACCCTAAAGCCATTCCCCCTGTGTTTTCAGCGCATGCCCTGGTAAAAACTCCCTCTCCAGCCTCCCTGTAGGGTGTGTTTGACACTCAGGGGCCGCAGAAATCTCTGTCCTTCTCTTGCAGCCACACAGTTACCTCTGTAGCTCAGAACCATTCCCTAATCTTTCCTGTTGGCTACCTGAGTATCTAGGAAAAGGGGAAAAATATCTTATTTTCCAAATCCTTGGGGAATGGTGTTCCTCCCCAGAGAGTCCTATGAATGTGTCCCTTTCTTCCAAACCTTTAATATTCAGAGATGTTGTTGTGATCAACCTCAGTGGCTGATGGATCTGGTAATGAGCAGGAGGCATTTTCAAACCTGGTGACAAAGGGGTTTGCTCAGTGCTGAGCCCTCAGAATGGACAGCCCAGGTCAGATGAACTCAAAGGAGAAATAAAGCAATGATTTTGGTTGTTTTTTTGTTTTTTTTTTAAACAATGACCATAATTAATAATGAGATTAAACAAGAGTGGTGAATTATCTTTTTTTTAGGGTGTGTAGGACATGTTCCCTACTGAGTAGTGAGAGCAGGTGGAGCTGGGATGAGCATTTCCATGCAATCCTTCACCATTTGGTGACTGCCAGTGCATGTCAGCCAAAGTTTGGGCACTTGGACACCATCAGCCAGGGCTGAGAAAACATAATCAATGCACCTAATTCTCTGAGCAAATTTTTCCAATCCTCTCAACTCCAGACCAGGTGGAATCACAGGTGCCATCCAGGTGTCCTCCAGCAGAGCTGGTAGGTGAACAGCAGCTAAGATATTAAGTTTTTACCCTTGAAATTAATTCTCTGTGCTGTTCACTGGTCTTAATATCTTCCTTTGCACACTGTCGGGAATTAAATGGTAAATAGTGGCAAACCTGGTTAAAGTTTAAAGGTTTCACCTTACGCTGTCTCCCTGCAGTCTGTGCTGGAGGAACAGTAAAGAAAGCTTCAAGAGGTGTTTCCATGCATTTTGAATCATGGATTGAGTAAATGATGCTGGAATTCCTGCTTTGTTTTCAAAAGGTTGGGGACACTTAAGTGTCAGTAGCAAAATACAATTGCTCCTTGTAAAATGAAATAAAATAAAATGTACTATGAGCCTCCCGAGATCTTTTGCCATTAGGTGTTTCATCACTCATCCCTGGAAATGTCAGGATTGCATTTTCTTCCCTCATCATTTATTTTCCTGTTTGACATCTGGAAGTCTCTGCAGCTCTGAGAGATAAGTTTGCCACGTCCCTCCTGGTGAGTAAGTGCCAATTCACTCTCAAAGATGTAATTTGACTTTGTCATTTGTCACAAGAGTTGCTTGATTATGGGTTGTTTAAAAACCAGCCCTGATGTCTGCATCATTTCATTGATGGGCAGCAGAGAGGGTTTTGGAACCTGCCAGACTGTAAAAACTCGTGTTGTTTACTCTGCATCATCACTGCCAGCACCATGGGAATCAGATCCTGTATATTTGTGTGACCCATGAACCCTCTGTGGTGTTAAAACCATCTCAGCTACAAACCCATCTCTGCTACAAACCCATCTCTGCTACTGAATCTGGTTTAGGTTTGCTGCTTTTTCCCCCTTTTTTTTATTTTTGTGTAGCTTAAATTTGGTGACTGAGGCAGAACACAGAGGTCATGTGGGGGTGATGCTTCTTCAGTGCTTGGGGGAGACCAGGGCTGTATCCATAGAGAATCCCAGACTGGTTTGGGTGGGAAAGGACCTTAAATCCCACCCAGTGCCACCCCTGCCATGGCAGGGACAGCTCCCACTGGCCCAGGCTGCTCCAGCCTGGCCTTGGGCACTTCCAGGGATCCAGG